GTGGAGACAGTGAAAGTACTTGAATGGCCCATGAATAGTTATCTCTCGGAGGAATCAGTCCAGTCATCACCCGAAGATGATTGTGGATACCCAATCGAAACGTCGTGAAGTAACTTGGCTTGGAATCTCTTAACTTTTTATCTTAATTTTTTGTTCAATTGTTCAATGTTTACTTGTATTATATTTCATTATTATTTCATTTCAGGTTTTTTGCTTAGTATAAATGTTATTTTTAGCTATTCATTTTTAATTCTTCTCTTTTATTTCTTTCAGGGATTCAAAATCATTTTATATAATATCAGACAATGTAAGTCCGAATTAATGAAATTCATCATGAAAAATTGTCAATCACTTTCAAACAAACTGTTCAATAGTTGTATCACCAAACTTTTTGTATAAAATTTAGAAATACGTTTGGTTCCTACTCCACATCCCTGTATGTATATATCCATTCTTGAGATTTTTGATACAATAAATGAACAAAACAAATTTTTGGCGCTTTATCAAACCAAAAAATAATAGCTACATACCTTCCAGATTTAGTGATAATCATCTCAGTGCCAAGCGAATGGAATTTTCTCCAAAGATCCATATTCTGCAAGGTGAATCTGCAATTCAAGGGCGAAAGGCATTCTGAAAAAAAAATCGTCAGTACGTACAATTCCGAATTGAAAAATATGAGCAAAAACATACTGACAACCTATTTTACAAAAACATAACATGAATGTGAACTTTAAATTGAAGGGGTTATATTTTTTAGGAGTGATGAATTTTTGGGAATGAAAGTTTTTGGCTTTCTACTACTCCATTTTGATACAAAAAAAGGATGAGGGAGTCTTCCAAAGAAAGGAAGGAAGTAACTCTATACATGGATGTGTAGATCATGCAAAGAAGTAACTTTCAGACACAAACTGAAAGAAAGTCCTCCTGAAACAGCTACTTTCAAATAAACATTGAATTATACAAAAGAAAAAAATCTGGGAGTTAAATTCAAGTGCTTGGTATAGCCACGAATGTTTTGCAAGTTATCAATAGCTTGTTAACTGGTAGAACTTTGTCTGTAAAATACGGAGATATAACATCTACGCCCATTCAGGTTCCATCAGGGGTACCGCAGGGATCCCATATGGGCCCACTACTGTTCAACTTGTTACTTGCCGGGAAGAATATACATTGAGAAACATTTATTCGATCTGGGAGTTAAATTTGATAGCGAAATTGATTTTAATCTTCAAGTATCAGAAATTGAAAGATTTTATATTGTGCTTTCGAAAGAATTGTTGAATATTGTTCGGTTATATGGGACTCATACTATAATGTAAATATTGATTTGATTGAGAATGTTCAAAAGAAATTCTTAAGGAATTGTGCTTTCCACTTTGGTATTCAACGACATGAATATGAGTGCAGTCAACTCTTAATCAAGTTAAATATAAAATTATTGAAGATAGGAGAATTTCTATGAGCTTCAGATGAACTGCCCAGAACTACTTCAACTAATAACTTTTTATATCAAACAAAAAGATACGAGAAATCCTGACATTTATCATACAATTTTTTCCATGCCAATTATGCTTTGAACAGTCCGATTCCTGGTATTCTGAAGCTGGGAAATCAATATCATAATAACTTAGATCTGTTTGATGTATCACTTCAGGTCTTCAAAAATTGATTGAGAAGGCTATAGCGTTTTCGAAGCTTTTCTTTACCTCACCATTTTCTATGTAAATACCAGATTTGTTTCATCTTTTTTCTTGTAAGCACCAGAATTGTTTCATCTTTTAGTAATGTAGTTACTAGACATCACGATTCATTAATATCTTGTATTTCACATTTCGCTGAATGTTTTGTAAAATTGTAAATTGTTATGTAGACATCAAACATAAGTATTCAAAAATTGCAGTTCCTCACACTTTGTTAAATATGTTTTTGTAAATTGGCTTTGCCGTCGAATAAATAAATAAATAAATATGCTAGTCAGTTGAATAAGCTCCAGTTCATCAAACTGATTCGTCTTGAAGGTCCAGAAATTGCAAAAAATGTCTAATGCGTTGTTGTGTTCATTACCATGATACATCTTTTTTGAAAAATTGAAGGAGGTATGTTTTCAGGAGAAAAAAATTTTTGAGAAAAAAAGGTTTCAGCTTTTGCACTTCTCCGTCTTTATACAAAAAAGGTGGGCATCTTTCAAAATAAACTCCTTACAAAAATCTACACACTTTGTTTTGAAGAATAAAACCAGCATTTATTTTCGCAAATCTCAATTTTTAATTTAAAGTTTCGTAGAAAAACTTCTTATTTTCGGTCACAGTGATGGGTCTGTGTTTTCAATTCGATTGAGTCATTTGAATATGAATTTTTATTTTTGATTTACTCAGCATGTCATTCATTTTCATTGAATATTTCTGAATTTGCAACAACTTTTTTCAAAAACTGATTTTCAGCTTTGCACTTCTCCATCTTCATACAAAAAAGGTGGGTATCTTTCAAAATAAACTCCTTACAAAAATCTACACACTTTGTTTTGAAGAATAAAACCAGCATTTATTTTCGCAAATCTTAATTTTTAATTTAAAGTTTCGAAGAAAAACTTCTTATTTTCGGTCACAGTGATGGGTCTGTGTTTTCAATTCGATTGAGTCATTTGAATATGAATTTTTATTTTTGATTTACTCAGCATGTCATTCATTTTCATTGAATATTTCTGAATTTGCAACAACTTTTTTCAAAAACTAATTTTCAGTAATATCAGTATATTGTATGAGTTTACAAGAAAATGTATCTACAAAGATCGCTATCGAATGCAAAAACTATCACCGGCGGTGTTCCACAAACATCTATTTTTGGGCTCCTACCTTAGCTCGCATATATTACTAATTCTGATTGTTATTAAATCATCTAGTTACTCGCACTCCATCACGTTCACAAAATACGCTGCCAACTACACACATAATATATTAATATTTACCTTGATAGTGCTTGTAAAAATCCATACTCATCAAGGACGACGGATGATACATGTTGATGGGTGTAATGCACACAACTATAGTAATACACTAACTCTGACAATTCTGCAACACAGATATGAGCCACACTGATTCAAATGTGTGAACGTCAGGCACTTTTCAACAGTGCCAACCCTTGGTTAAGGGTGGGACATCTCAAATGATTGGGCAGGTAGTCCCGAAGCATTTCATTGGCTGATTTTCGCATCCTAAGAAATTATGTGATGTCCGAGTTGTCAATGGAAGGCTTATCTATGGGGTTTGGTGATAATCAGACATGAAAATTCATTAATGTGCATTTGTGTTATTCATGCAACATTTATTATTATCCATGATAATAATTTCAGAATTTTCCAGAAACATTTTGATTTCTAGACGCGTTTCGATAACACCGTAGCTTTCTATCGAGAATTTTCACAAATATTTCAATTTCTATACGCGTTTCGATATTATCTTAGCTTTCTACCGTGAATTTTCACAAACATTTTGATTTCTAGACGCATTTTGCTGACGATGGAGCTTTCTATCGAAAATTTTCACAAACATTTTAATTCCTACCGTGAATTTTAACATACATTTTAATTTCTAGACTCGTTTCGATAACACCGTAGCTTTCTATCGTAAATGTTCACAAACATTTTGATTTCTAGACGTGATTCGCAAACCCGTAGCTTTCTACCGAGAATTTTCACAAATATTTCAATCTATAGACGCGTTTTTATAACATCGTAGCTTTATACCGAGAATTTTCACAAACACTTTAATTTCTAGACGTGTTTGGCTGACACCGTAGCTTTATACCGAGAATTTTCACAAACATTTTAATTTCTAGACGTATTTCTCTAACACCGTAGCTTTAGCTTTCTACTGTGAATTTTCACAAACAATTTAATTTCTAGACGTGTTTCGCTGACACCGTTGCTTTCTATCGAGAATTTTCACAAACATTTTAATTTCTAGACGTATTTCGCTAACACCGTAGCTTTAGCTTTCTATCGTGAATTTTCACAAATATTTTAATTTCTAGACATGTTTCGCTGACACCGTCGCTTTCTATCGAGAATTTTCACAAACATTTTAATTTCTACACGCATTTCGATAACATCGTAGCTTTAGCTTTCTACCGTGAAGTTTCACAAACATTTTAATTTCTAGACGTGTTTTGCTGACAACGTCGCTTTCTATCGAGAATTTTCACAAATATTTCAATTTCTAGACGCGTTTCGATAACATCGTAGCTTTCTACCGTGAATTCTCACAAACATTTTAATTTCTAGACGTGTTTCGCTGACACTGTAGCTTTTCACAAACATTTTAGTTTCTAGACATATTTCGGTAACACCGTAGCTTTAGCTTTCTACCTTGAATTTCCACAAACATTTTGAATTCTAGACGTGTTTCGCTGACACCGTCGCTTTCTATCGAGAATTTTCACGAACATTTTAATTTCTAGACGTGTTTCGCTGACACCGTAGCTTTATACCGAGAATTTTCAAACATTTTAATTTCTAGACGTATTTCGCTAACACCGTAGCTTTAGCTTTCTACCGTGAATTTTCACAAACATTTTAATTTCTAGACGTGTTTCGCTGACACCGTAGCTTTATACCGAGAATTTTCAAACATTTTAATTTCTAGACGTATTTCGCTAACACCGTAGCTTTAGCTTTCTACCGTGAATTTTCACAAACATTTTAATTTCTAGACGTGTTTCGCTGACACCGTAGCTTTCTACCGTGAATTCTCACAAACATTTTGATTTCTAGACGTGTTTCGCTGACACCGTAGCTTTAAACCGAGAATTTTCACAAACATTTTAATTTCTAGACGTATTTCGCTAACACCGTAGCTTTAGCTTTCTACCGTGAATTTTCACAAACATTTCAATTTCCAGACGCGTTTCCCTGATACCGTAGCTACATACCGAGGAAGCTAATGGGTTAGTATTTAGGACATGTATTTCGCATTTTTCTATTGCTAACAATGAAACATCTATAACAATTATATACATTTATTTGAATTTCAACAACCTTTGTGTCATAACAATTAAGTCTGCTTCTATTAATTTTTCATAAATTAAATTTTCTGTAATGTTAATTCCACTTTTGTTACCTGGATTGTTGTTCTGTACCTGCAAGATTTGCTTCTCTTCTGCGTAATTTGGAGGAAATTAAGAAAACGGCAAACGTACAACAAAGCAACAATGCCAAAACGAATCCAAATGTTCCCTCATATCCAATTGCATCGATGAGACTTTCGAGTATCAATGTTGATAGTATCGCGAACAAAAAAATTACTGCGTTCAGAAGGGAACAGCTGGAAGATTCTGGAATTGGATAAGTAACTTCGAGGGCATACTCGAAGCTGATGACTAGGGTACTAGCTATGAAAAACCTGTAAGAGATATTTGAACAATTTTTGAAAAACGTCGACGCCTCCTCTTGGTAAATTTAGCTGAAATTTTTTTTAGCAAAGAGATTTATGAACAATTTTTGACTTCAAAAACGTTGACGCCTTATTTTGGTTAATTTAGCTAGAAATTTTCTTTAGGAAAGAGATATGTGAACAATTTTTGACTTCAAAAACGTTGACGCCTTATTTTGGTTAATTTAGCTAGAAATTTTCTTTAGCAAAGAGATATATGAACAATTTATGACTTCAAAAACGTTGACGCCTTCTTTAGGTAAATTTAGCTAGAAATTTTCTTTAGCAAACAGATATATGAACAATTTTTGACTTATCTGAGGCTAATTACTTTTGTAGAGGTGTTGGTTTGACAAACGATATCGTTCAGTGCTGGGGAATACAGCCTGTTTTAAACGATGAATTGATAATATGTGTGAGGGGCAAAAGGTAATGCTTGATTGATAGTTGGAGCATTTTACCAGATATTTTGCCAGGCCCTTCAGTAAAGGGGCTTCTGTTTGAGAGTTAGTTGTTTCACCAAATCTGGGATAAACTGAGAAAACGCTGAAGAGACGGAGCATGTGCATTGTATGTGAATTTACAGAAATACAGAAATACATAAATGGATGAATGAATGAATGAATAAGCGAATGGTTTAATGAATGATTGACACAAACATGAATGTATGTCTTACCCGAAAAGAGGGATCGTGAAAAATGTAGCGATCCTTATCTTGAAATAAAATGAAACAACCAAAAGAATGTAGGTCAGTGATGATAGAACCAAAACTGCGAAGCTAGTTTTTCTGAAACAGAAATCAATATTGGTTTTATTATAGTACAGTATAAAACAGGAAATTTCTCATGAAATAGGCGAGCTACTCGCTGTTGTGTTCGGGTTTCACCTCCGTAACCAATCATTTGTGAAACTGTTATTTTATTCAATTCCGTTAATCTAACCATTCGTCAGACTTGGAGTTAACGAACTTTTAACCTAATTAAAATACTGACAACTGATGTTGTAACATAGAAAACAAGTTGATGAGGCGTCTTAAACTAACGTTGCCACGGAAATTATTTATAGTTTTTCAAAGGATAGCATCTATAAAGAACATTTATGGTTTTTGCTTACTTTTTTATTATCAATACCTCAACATGAAATGAGTTTTGAGTATAGTGCAATAAGTTTTGAGTGTGTTTTATCGAATTTTGATAACCACACGATTTTTATTTATAAACTTAAAAACGATAACATTTTTGAATAGAGAAGAAAGAGACCTTTCAAACGATAAATTACAAGCCTATACTTCCCATTTAAAAAATTGGGGGTTGTACCTGTCATTCGACGGGGGTTGAAGGTAGGGGTAGCATTTTTCCATTGAAGTATGTCAAATTATATTTTAAATTTGAATTGTTTCCGCAATCGAAATAATGAATTTATTCCATTAGGCTTTTACACACTGTATATGTTTTATCATCTTTACTACTACTACTGAAATTGAGCTGGAAAAAATAACTGAACTGTTATATTCCATTTATAAAATTATTACTTCAAATGTATTGTATGAGTATCAATGAATAAATAAATATATGTAGTTTATAATATGAAAATTCATAACTGCTATGAAAAAAAAATGCATCAGATACAGTCCGATTAGATTATTTTCAACACGACACAATGGCCGACACAATGAACTAGATTTTTAGTTGATAGTTCAGATAGTTCAAATATTAAGTTGACAGTATCAAAGAAATAGTCAACAATATAGATTATATTGGTCCAGATTTTCCTATTGTAAATAGAACTAACAATATCTACTTAAAAAGTTTTAAATTAATTAACAGAGATACTTTAAAGGAAATTATTTTTGAAATGGCAAATAAAGGAAGTCCTGATGATATAAATGCAGAATTTTTAAAAAATTGTTTTGATAATGTTGCAATGCCCTTAATTAATGTCATAAATACTTCTATAGAAACCAGTACCATTCCATCAATCTTAAAAATTTCAACTATAACACCAATTGCTAAAGTTGCTANTAGATGTAAAAATGAAAACTTTTCCCGGTTTGAACGTAATTAAATCGACCCAACGAGATATACTTATTTATTCATCTTTTTATTGTAGATCCACCTGAGTATCTTTATTTTTGTGTTATTGTAAATTTACGTTGCTGCTTTGATATTTATAAATTTATTTATATCTGCTGTGAATTTATGGATCCTATTTCAATAAACTATTCCACACAGTGATTTGAACAGTGACTTGAAGTCAACAGTATTCAAATCACTTTTGACAAAGCTACTGTGCGATATATTTTTCAAATAAAATTTGTGGAGATCAAATACTGAGATGTAGTTTAGGAAATTACTATGGATTTGATTCAATTCAAATAAATTCAAATATACTTTGTCTGAAGGATGAATTCTCATTGACAAAGCCTTGTGCGAAATATAATTAACATATAAATGAAATCACAAAAGTATCACAAAAGTAAAATCACTAAAAGTAAGTGATAACATGAACTGAAAAGAGACATGTGAACAATAACCTAACAAAAACAATAACAATAACCTAATACAAACGTTCAGGGTATAAGAACATGATCAATAAAATTAAATGAATCAATTCAAACTTAATTGAATGAAATCAATAAAACACCGTAGATATTACAGTTAGTCGACTCAATTAGAATTATCATCGTAGAATTCTGCTAAGCTATATGAAGGTCTCATAGAAAGCAAGTCTTAAGAGCTCTAAGGTCATTTATGGTTCTTATAGCTTGAGGAAGGAGATTGAACATTTTGAGACCATTGTAAATAATGGAATCTTTACCTAGGGTCGAAGAAGGCAGGGGTAATTTGAAGCTGAATCTTAGCCTGGTTTGATACATTGGCTCGTCCAAGTTGTTAAACCAGACCCTATTTTTGAAGAGAAGGCAGATTGTCTCATATATAAATAACGAGATCACAGTTAGGATTCTGTTAGAGGCGACAAGAGGCCGACAAGAGTCCCTAGGCTCTCAGGGCAAGTTTTTACTGGGACACATACCAAAAATTTGGAGACTGATCAGGGCCACCTTCATTCCGAAACATGGGAAAATCGGACAGGACTCGGCGAAGACCTTGAGACCAATCAGACTCATGTCATTTGCGTTGAAAACGCTAGAAAAACTACGTATCAGGGACGTATCACTGGCTAAGAGACCATTACACTGAGACCAATAGGCATACAGGTCAGGTATGTCAACAGAAACGGCTCTATGTCGGGTCACAGAAAACGTAGAACATACTTACAAAAACAAGGAAGTACTTTTAGTTGCTCTCTTGGACATTGAGGGCGCATTTGATAATACGTCGTTAGAATCAATCATCCAGGCGTCGAGGAGAAGAGGGATCGACAAGACAAGATTTAGGTGGATAGACTGCATGCTTAGGGGAAGATTGGTATATCTGTTTGAATCTGTTTAAAATCTGTTTTTCCGTTAATCAGCTGTCGCCCCCATACAACTCTCAGAAGTTGAGAAACTTGTGCGAGCTAAAGACTAACGAGGTCTTACCTTTTAACGTGTGATTCCTAATACGGTTGCAGAATCATCCCAGCTTCAACCAGATAAATTCTCTCGAGGTCGAGGTAGGAATCGAACCCACGATCTTCCCATCATGAGTCGGGCACACTACCACCGCGGCCAATTCCACAACCACAACCAATTCCACAACCACAACCATTATGGGAGAAACAGTCGTGTCACGGGTAGCAAGGGGCTGTCCTCAGGGAGGGTAATATCCCCTCTGTTAGGGAACCTTGTAGTGGACGAGCTATTATGTCTCTTGGACCACAATGGGTATAAAGCACCGGCCTATGCAGACGACTTAGTCCAGGGTAAATACAATCATGTAGTGAAGGGATGCATGCATGCAACAGGCCCTGAATATTATAACAAGATGGAACGAAGAAGAAGGGCTTAACATAAGCCCATCCAAACCGACCATAGTAGCATTCACCAAGAGGACTAAAACGGAGGGTCTAGGACTTCTAAAACTTCGAGGTGAAGAAATACAAGTGTCGGGGGAGGTTAAATATCTGGGAGTGATTCTAGATTCCAAACTGACCTAGAACCAACACTTGGACAGGATAAAGAGGAAAGCGGAGGTAGCACTGATGCTCACCAGACGCACCTAAGAAAAACATGAGGGCTAAAACCATGATAACATACGCATCTCTGGTCTGGTGGCCAAAGATGAAGCAGTCGACCACCATCAACAAACTAGGCAAAGTGCAAAGACTTGCATGTTTGGGAATGACAGGAGCAATGAGAACTACCCCAACAGATGCATTGGAGACACTCCTGAATCTACCTCCTTTACACTTTGTGATGATGAGGGAGGCCAGGATGAGCCAATTCAGACTGGAACCGAACCTACAAAAGATCGGACCGAACAGAAATTTCGGTACAAGTGGAGTAGCACATATTGAATAAGTGCACGGACCACATGACACCGAAGTACACCTTTAACACAAACTTCACGGCCAAAATCATGAGCCGTGGAGGGTGGAAGACCATTAGTCAACCCGAAAACATGTTTGGAAGAAACACCTGGTATACAGATGGATCGAAGACCAAACATGGAACGGGAGCTGGAATATACCGAGCGGATAGAAATTTAAACTACAGCTATCCGCTAGGACTATACACATCCGTCTTTCAGGCGGAAGAGTATGCTATCTTGCAGTGTGCAAGGCTCATTAAATTGAGACCTCAAATAAATGAGCGTTTCAATATTTTAACAGACTGCAAGAGCGCACTAGGGGCTCTGACAAATCCGAAGGTGACATCAAAACTGGTCTGGGAATGCCATGAAAAACTGAGTGAACTTGCAAACAGGAACGAATTAACTTTGTACTGGGTGCCAGGACATTCAGGAATCACAGGTTATGATAGAGCTAATGAATGCGCTTGACGCGGTTCATCAACTTCATATATAGGTCCTGAACCAGCTCTGGGGGTACCAAAATCATTGATACTAAACCAGATTAGGAGACATGGACCAATAAGAAGTCCAGAGTACTGGACAAAAGTACCTGGCAACAAACACAGTAGAACCTTCATTAGGGAACCGTCCGAGAAAAGAACCGAAGAACTACTTCAATATAGTAGGGATCGGCTCAAAATAATTACAGGGTTACTAACCGGTCATTGTCCGCTTTGAGGACACCTGAATAAAATGGGTCTGTACAACGGAGATTTCAGCTGCAGATCATGCCACGAAGGGAGAGAAACAGCTCTACACATCTTATGTGAATGTGAGGCACTGGATCACAGGAGGTAGGCTATATATGGACGTACAAAATTACGTCCAGAAGAATATGACGAACATCCAACACGGAACCTGTACAAACTGGTACAGGAACGAGACTGATGTAATGGGTGTCATGAGAAGATGGGAGAATAAACGCAATAAACCCAAGAAGCTGGAGTGTTTTCTGGAGACTTGGACTAAATGGACAAGTCAGACAGTTCCCAAGGTACCAAGAAAAGAGTTCCTAGGCTTGGCTTTGCGTTTACATCGTATTGCACGTTTTCGTATTAGTAATACTGATTGAAGGCATGTGGTAGAACACACACACCAAAAGCAAATACCATAACGAAACCATTTTAGCTTCTGCAGATTCGAGCTCAAATGCAGTTACTCGTATTGCATAACATCCAGAGGAGAGCTTGGATTTCAAAGTACATGTTTGTTGAATTTTAAATTATTGTCAATGAACAAGCCAAGGAATTTAGAAGTTGGTACGTTGTCAATTTGAATATTACACACATCGGAAAAGTCTAGGGATATTTTTAAAAATGGCAATAATTTTTTTTTAGATCGCTTTAGGGAAAAAAGTTGACGGGTGATTATTAAACGAATGTAACTTACAACAAAATTTATTAAATGGTCAAAAATACTGAGTGCGCATATAAGCAAAACTAAAAAAAATATGGCTCTTCTTTGGTACCCCGAAAAAAATCATAATACAAACAAAATTGGAATCAGTACAAAGTATGGCCTCCACGCTGGTTTATTACGGCCCTACATCTATCGTGCATCGACAAAATGAGATTGTCAATGTCTTGTTGAGGTACATTTGCCCATTCAGCGATTAAAAGCTCTCTCAATTGAAACGTTGTGTGAATGTTCCCCATATGCGGAGTAATTCTTCGTTGAAGCATGTCCCACACATGCTCGATGGGATTCAGGTCCGGTGATTGTGCTGGCCATGGCAATACATCAACTCCTTCGTTGGTGAGCCAGTCAGTCACTAGACGCGCGACATGTGGACGAGCATTATCGTGCATTAGGTGGAAGTTTTCACCAACAGCACCAGCAAACGGACGGACGATAGGTAGAAGAATGGTGTCGAGGTACTGTCGAGCTGTGAGGGAGCGATTTGGAAAAACGAGATCGGTTCTGCCGCCGATCATGATTCCGCCCCATAGCATTACTGTACCACCTCTGTATGTGTGGACTTCCTGGACGTGTCTCAAACGTTCATTATTTCCAGGTCGTCTCCACAGTCTTACTCGACGAGAATCTGGATGAAATCCAAATCTGGATTCGTCTGTAAACAAAACTGTGGCCCAATCATTTGCATCCCAGTTTTGATGTTCTTGACACCACTCTAATCTTCTACCGCGATTGCCTCTCGACAAAGGTGGACATCTAAGTGGCCTTCTGTTGTGGAGATCTGCTTCATGCAGTCGATTTCTGACAGTATCACGACCAATGGTTACCTGGTGCGTCTGCTGCAACACGTTAACCAACTCAGGTGCTGTGATTGTCGGTTGTCTTCTTGCGGTTAAGACCAAAAATCGGTCTTGAACTGCAGTTGTAGCGCGTCCTCGCCCTGGATGTTGTTCGGCTGGACTGCCAGTTTCACGGAAACGCCGCCACAATCGACTGATAACACTTTGGGAGACCCCCAAACGAAGAGCTACATCATTTTGTCGCATGCCACCTTGAAGAAGCCCTACAGCTCTATTCATCTCAGCCAATGGTAAGTGATGGCGTTCCATGTTAAAGCACAATATTTCCAGTTTAATTGCTGAGCAAGAACTGCATAGAATGTACAAACTCGACACTTTCAGATTATTCATTTTAGCCGAAAACCTACAGTTTGTAAAAAACTTGATAAAAGATTAGTTACCGTTTTTGCAGGCTTTGTTCAACCCATAGAAATCTACAGGGTGGTCGAGTGTACCAATTTAATCGAAATTAAACGACCTCATGCATTTTATTTTTATGATATTTAGTATGTTATAAAAATATCCCTAGACTTTTCCGATGTGTGTATTTAGATATACGGCTGGAATCTGGGAACGATAGGATACTACTTTTGTTTTTGATGAATTCAAGCTCAAGAGATTTGTGTCAAACCAGTCTTTCACTTTCGTGATGGCATTCTTAACAATTTCATACAAGTAACGGCCGAATCAATCAGAAGAAAAAACCACTTACTTGAACTCGTGGGTTTTGTCCAACACGTATCCAAAGACAACGCTTCCTATACAACCTCCAGATATAATCGACATTAGAGTTATTATACCAATGTCTGTTCCCCCATTCTGAAATATAAATAAAAAAAAATTAATTCCTGGAATTCACAGTATTCTCTCATGAACTTGAAACTTTGGCACAGTAAAGTTATCAAATGTTAATTGTACAATATCACTTCTCAGCAATTTGAAATATATTATAATTCCAAAATAAATGTAGGATTGGTGCAGAAAGATAATAGCTATCATCAATCTGAAGTTGAACTTACCGGAAAATAATTCGTATAGAGGGAATTAACTAAAATTCCGAAACTATTCCACAAACCGTTGACCACACCGAATATCACAAGTACCAACAAATAATCCTTATTCCTGAAAAGGCTCTTACAGTTTTGAAAAAAGGACGGTTTATCTTCGGATTGAGTCAAAAGCTGCAACTGAGATGGACTTGGAGGAAGAGTTGGCTTTGCCCTGAAAACTGCCATTGAATCAAGCAAAAAATAACGTTTTGTTTGTATATAGGGTGTAACATAAGTACGTTAAAATATTCAAGTGACGTATTCCTGAGACAATTTTAAGAAGAGAAGTCTATATGGACTTGTGTCCGAAAATGCTTCGTTTCGGAGTTACAGGGTGTTGAAATTGAATTTTTTGTTCGCTTCTTGAAAATATTTGCACGAAATTCGATACCCGGAGTTTTTTCGACTTGGGAAATCATAATTTCGTATTAATTTTCATGTAACATCTAGAGGGAGCTGCGTACGCTGTCATTATTTATTTCAAATCGCCCTAACTTTTTTGGCAGTAAACTTTTGGTATTTTTCATGAAAAACCTAATTCCCGCACCTTTTCCAAGTAAAAAAGGTACACTTTCTCAATAACGCTGAAGGTGATCGTTTTCGAGATATTTACAATTTTTTATATCGATGCATATCGTAGAATTTGCTGACTGAAATTTCTAGAAAGCTTTTATTAAAAGGGCCGAATCGAGACCTTCCATGTCATGTTTAATTTTCGAATTTTATCACAACGGCATGCCCATGTAAGGCAAATAGCTAAAGCAGCCTGAAATCAAAACCAAACATTCATTTTTCGATATTTATTTAAACATTTTCAATTCATACCTTTATCAGCAAATACTTTCTTTCATCAGGTGCATCCTTTAAAAATTGTTGAATTTCTTCAGAAGGTAATGTTTTTGACTGTTTTGGCGCATATTTTTTAGATTTGCGTTTTAAAAATGCACTCCTCAGTATCGAGTATACCGAGACCATAATGTTGATGATTTCAATCTTCTTGACAACTCTTCAAAATAAACTAACAAGGTATTTTCAAGAAAGAATTTACCTTGGCTTTCATTTTCCAACCCATAAAGTGTCTGTAAGCGATTTCATACTCTTCTCTCGATGTGCTTGGTAGCACATTATTGCAAACATCTATTGCTTTATGAACAATTTCTGGAGGTGTATTTTCTTTTAATTTTGAATAAAACAAAGGGTGAATATTAATGGAGTTTCATCCCAACACCAAACCGTTATTTTAACACCAATGGCTTCTTAGTTTCACCGATGTTCGCATTGCCGAGTAGACGAAATACAAACAGCGAGGAGAAACCAGCAAATCAGGAATAGCGGAGCATGTTTGGACTCATCAACATAACACAAAGTAGGCTCAAGCTGAAATCATCCACAAGGCGGAACACTGGTTTAGGAGAAAATTCAAAGAAGCCACATGTATGTTGACCAACAACAACAAACCTTTAATCAAGCGGAACACGACCAGCTCCCGCCACACGGTCAACTCCCGCTAAAACCGATGAAGCGGAGAGAGGGAACAGGAGATAGGTGAAAGCACTCGAATGACATATAAATAGTCAGATCTTAGAAAAATGAGTTCCCATTCTATTCACAATAGGAAGAGATGAAATGGAACCAGATAATCCAACAAGGAGAATCATCGACTGGAAAAGATTCCAGCGCACCATCCACGATGCGATAGAAGACATACCACGCATCGAAACAAAGATCGATCTGGAGAACGTCACACAACAGCTACAACAGGCGATCACCCAAACAATGGAAAGAAGTGCGCGGGAAGTTCCAACCCAGCGCTTTAATTTACAAGATCATCTTCCTCCAGAAACAAAGGAGCTCATTAGAATCAGAAGACGCCTGAAAAGACGATATCAAAGGACTCGCACACCAATGGACAAAAGGAGTATGCAAAGAGCCGGCAGAATACTGCGAGAAGAACTAAAAGAAATCCCAGATCAACAATGGACAACCCGTCCGGAAGAACTAAACACCGAAGACACATCTGCATGAAGAATGCCGAAAACTCTTAGGAATGGACCTCGAAAGCCATGCCTGCCAATACAGGGCGAGCAAGGAATCGTCTACATGGACCAAGAGAAAGCGGAAGCATTCGCGGACAATTTCGAAAGGCAGTGTAGAGAGAACGACGTCCCGTTCACGGACGAAGTAGAAGAAATAGAGACTCAAGTGGAAACGACGGTACTTAGACTCAGGAGACAAAGAAGGGACAACGCGCAACCCCTGGCACCAACATCACTCGAGGAAGTGAAAGATATCGTAAGACGTCTAGCTACTCGGAAAGCCCCAGGCCCAGACCAAATAACAAACCGGGCCCTGAAAGTCCTACCACGAAAGGGTATAGCAGCTATAACAAACATCATAAATGCTATACTCAGACTGCAGCACTTCCCGTAACCCTTTAAGGAGGCGACGGTCATCCATATCCCGAAGCCAAAGAAGAACCACCTATTCCCGGATAACCACAGGCCAATCAGCGCAACCCTTTCCTTGAGCAAAGTGGCAGAACGTGTCACCCTGAAAATATTAGAGGATCAAACCAACGAACTAGGAATACTATCACACGAACAGTTCGGCTTCAAATCAGAACACTCGACAGAGCTGCAAGTCCTGAGGGTAGTAGACGGAAGGCTTCAACCTGGTCAAAGATTACAACGCCGGGGCGATTTTCTTAGACGTCTCCAAGGCGTTTGACAGAGTCTGGCATGACAGACTTCTGGCCAAAATGATCAACTTTGGCTACACGAAACCAATGGTAAGATTAATCGAATATTTTCTAGTTGACAGGCGATGCCACTGCCGAGTAGGACAAGAACTCACAACGATGCGATTACTGGAAGCAGGGGTCCTACAAGTTGCAGTCTTTTCGCCACACCTCTTCTCGGAATACACAGCAGACGGCCCAAGCCGGAGAACAACATCAACAAGTTGGCGCTATACGCGGACGACACAGATCTGCTGGCGATATCAACAAGTCAAGCGCACATCACTAGATATTTGCAGCAACAGACAGAGAGCTTAGAGGAATGGGCAAGCCTGTGGAAGATCAGCATAAACCCTGTCAAGAGTCAGGCAATACTGTTCACCCGGAGGTGGGTACGCCCGGAAGGAAATGCCATCTTCAACGGATGAGAGATTCCGTGGACCAACGAAGCTAGATACTTGGAGACAAAAGATTAAGGTTCAGGTCTCACGTATGGCAGATAATAGGAATGGCGAGATCTGCCCGACACAACCTATTACCAATAATAGGTCGAAGAATCAACATGGGACTGAAAGTGAAGCTGCTGATGATAAAGACCATAATACTACCGATAATCCTGTATGACTGCACTGCCTGGGGCCAGTGCGCAGCGACATATAGAAGACAAATCCAGTCGTACCGATATGTACCGAATAGGTACATATTCCGGGATCTAGACCTAGACGCACTAAACAGGGATGTCCCCAGATTCCGAGAGAGGGACAAACACAGGAGGCCAACAAAGCAGAACCAAAGACCACCCCCGGTTGAGAAATTTCTATACTGGTAAGTATAGAAATTTCTCAACCAGACTTTAAATTAATCTCATTTTCAGATTCACTGAGAACCATCACTTGCTCGCAACTAAAAAGACACTCGTCTCCGGTTAATTTTTGGGGATCCCATGCAATAATCCAGTTAGGAAAGTCATGATAAAACAATTCAACAGATCAGAAAGTAAAAGCACCTAGAGGCTGACTTTCGACCAAAGAAGGTCAGATGTCAATCTTGTTGAAGTGCCCATCAGTAAGTTGAGGTCCGCTCCGGAGGAGCGGGGGTGGATGGACGAGATGGGATGTTCAGCACACATTGACCGGTGGGGAAGATGTCAACTCAGGGCACTCAACCCGGGAGGGGGCATGGGGACGGAAGATTGGAGATTTGTCTCTCTTTTATAGATACTGTCACGGGAGCTGCTCAAGTGACTTGGCATATTTGACTCCACCAAGAGCGGAACATTTCAGAAATACGCGACGGAATGTGGCTGCTCATTGTTTTAAGGTTCAATTCAGTACACCTCAAACTTTACTGTTTGAGAACTATTTCATTTGGAGAACTAAGTTTATGTGGAATAAACTTGCTGAGAAGGTTTTTCCAATGTGAATCGCTACTTTCGCATAGGCACCGCTTTTAGAGCGCCTTAAGGATTTTCCTGTAGTGCTTGTGTTTTGTCTTAAAAAAAATCGAATGTTTGAAATATATACCACATTTGTCACTTTAAACCGACTCATTTATGCACGCCTATGGAACAGGCACTTGAAAATGATTCATTTCTCCACTGCTTGAGGAAGAAGACTTTAGGTATCGCACGTTGAAAGGTAAGATCTCGTTTATCCTCAGTTTCGACTTTTGACAACCCGATTTTTGAGGGAGGTGATAAGAAACCAATTTTTTTATCGATTAGTGAAGTTATTACTTACATATTAAAACTACGACAAATACTATGGCAGCTAAGATAGCATTTCCCACAACCATATGGTGAATGGCTTTGCCAGTTTCTTGTTCATCATATTCTGTCTTAACGATAAACGGCGGAACGATTGAGCCGATTGCAGCGCCTGAAAAAAATGACACTTGTTACTGTTTGATTTCTTCAAAAGATGTTGAAATAGTTCAATTTAATTGGTTTTTGTTCTTGAAAATCAATTATTAGCATTTATTTCTATATTCAAAAACTAATAACAGTATTTAGTTAGACTATTGCTATTATACTCAGACAATCTGAAATTAATAAAAATGAAAACAAATATTGGGCAATATTCGATTT